TAAATCATTTCCATTCCATGTCATATGTTTTTAATTTTATCAGCATCTGTAACTTTTTAATTACCACTTTTATTAAAGCCTTTTTTTTTCAGAAGCAGTACACAAATGCCTAGCTATTTAATCTGGGTTTTAGAAGGTGCAGTTCAGGGCTCAGTCATTGCAGCAAAGTTCTGCTGCCACATGCACCCACCATACCATGGGTACTCTATGTTGCTCTCCTGCATTCACCATGCCCCTTGGAGAAGTGGGGTGTGTCACAGCATGGCTGGACAAAACATTACCATCAAGATTATAATGAACAATTTTGCCCCCCAGAAGCTTCTAGGCAGATTTTCACTTACCAAAGAATGGAGAAGCTTTAAAGACACTCAGGATCCTGGTGCAATGGGGAGTTGACTGAAAACTGCTGATTTATGACCTATTGTTTCATGGTATAATGTTGTTCTTCTAGTCCTTCTCCAATTCACACTCAAAGTGACAACAAGCAAAGGTTTTGACTGGCCACCTACTATCTTGTCACCACATCAGGATTCCCAAATAATGGAAGAAACCACGTGAAATTAGTGAAGACGGTTTTGTGCCACTGGAGAACTGCAAAAGTGATAGGATTAGGCCACATCATATTATATGGTAGCCAAAGTCAAAGCTTCCTTGCATGGGTTTATGACCCTTTCAGAAAGAAAATATTTGTGTTCAAAGTAGAATTGACTAAAGGGAGATGAAGCAGCTGAAGGGTACTGTGCTCCATGTAGACTAGGATAAAACACGTAGCTTGCCAATGACAACTGGAGAAGAGCGAGGAACCTGCCAACTGAAAGGTGTCTGGCAGATAACACAGGAACAAGCTGAGAGATAAACACAAGCCATGGTGATGCTGTCCATGGAAATCCTTCCCAGCGAATCATATTACTGGACTGACAACTAGGCACATGTCACAAGTGAAGATCGCACTCAAGGAAAAGATTCATGAGAATGGGTGACTTTTGTCTGGCTTCAATAGCCAAAGCAGCAAGATACTGAGCATTGAGGAACATCTCTGTTTAAGTAGGGGAGGGAACAATTATTGGTAAAATGAATTCCTTCAGAAACGGTGCAATGTAACTACCTGCTGCAGTGGCTATGGCTGCAGACACGCTGGTCCTGGCCTGTGTCAGGTCACCAAACAGCAGAAGATTAGGTTGTCTGAATTGAGAAGTGGCCAAGACACAGCATTGCTTCCTTCTGTTGTTCTGGATCCTGAGCAGTGTGTGGCAAAGCTGAAGTGGTTAAAGAAGAGACAATCCACAATTTACAGTTGGGGAGCGGTCAGCTTTTGACTCTGGAAATAAGCTCTGCAAACAGCCTGCATGGAAACTGGAATACCACTGCTGAAGAAACACATTACGTGTTTCCATCTGAGTCATACTGCTGTCACGTGTAAAACAAAGATTATTTTGGTGGAAATGTGCAAGGAACAGCCATTTAATTTATTATCAGTTGAAATTCTTAAACTAACATATTATCTAGTTCAGCCTTCTGGGACAATTCACATCTGACCCCCAGCATCAGCAGCTCATTCAACTCATTTTAGGAGACGTGGAACGAAAAGAAGTGCCATGCTTCCGCGCAAAGTGATCTGTTAGCCTAAAGCGAATCAGTGAGTCAAATCTTAAGACAGCCCTGTGAATCTCAAGCTCATTTACTTGCCAAAGGAAAGTTTCAGCGACAGAGCACAATAACAAAGCCCCTAACATATCTCAGATCCATTGCACCCAGGCTGTGAAGTTTATATTTCCCTAACAACTTGGAGACAATATTGTGTGTCAGATCACATGCACTTGTCATTAGCATGAACATTAAGAGGAAATGAACATAAATCCCAGATTCAAATGTGTAGTTTGAACATCCTGGGACAATTAAATTATTGATAATGGTTATCTGTCACCAAGCAATAAATCATAAAGTCATGGAGTGGTAGAAGAAAAGCTATCTTGCTGCTGACAGACACGTAGACTGAAAGATGTAGTGGGCCTTTCAGGGTCCAGAAATAATTGTAAAAAGGTGAGAGATTTCTTCTCTTGTTTTTTTTTCTCATCAACTATAGTATTTCCATACTCAAAATAACAATTTCTTGTGACAACTTTTCTTACTCGGCCTCTAAGTTTTCTGACATGTTAATGAAAATGAGGAATGAAGCCGAAAATGAGCAGCCGGTGAAGAGCAGGCCTGGCTTTATGGCTGCCAGTTGGAGCACGGTGCTGTGTGCAGAGCCGGGAGCTGGCTCCCAAAACTGTGCAAAGTGACGGATACTCCCTGCTGACGGTAACATCGATGTAAATAAGATGAACATCCCCCCTCCCCGTATTACAAGACTGTGAAAATAGAGGAATTGCATAGAGAAAACGAGGGAGCAGACTGAGCAGATGATGGCAACAGGACAGAGGCTGCCCCCCTTTTTAAGTCACCTAATTTTTGCAACTAAAATAAGACTCTATTGAATTTGTACATCAAATTGCTCTGCACTGAATAGAACACTGAGCTCCCGTGTTGGGTATAACCACATTTCCTAAGAGGCTACAGGTCTATGTGGACAAGCAGCAGCTGGTGGAAGGAGAAAGGAGCAAAGGCATTTCCCTTCCAGGCACAGGAACCGGGGAGCAGGAGCTGGCTGGTGCCTGGTTATATGCGGTGGGAATGCCAGGCGTGGGTGGCTGTGACTGCTTGAGTTGGTGCCAGGGCTTGAATAGGCTGGTGGGCGCTGCCAGGAGGGGGTGTGAGCTCCAAGTGGGACCCAGCTTTGTGAGGATCCCTTTTCAGAGGGCTGCAGTGCTGTGAAACTCAACGCAGCTCTGCAGAGAGAGTGGAAGCTTTTCAAATGTACACGCTGTACTGCACCGCTTGGAGAGGCCAGGGATCACATTCATTTATGCATTTTCCAACAACTAAATCTCTTTATATTAACTACATGGAATACATCAGTTTTGGCCAAAAAAGATGTATTTTTGTTAATACTGATCCTTTGCCTGTGTGGCGATCTGTATTGATTTCAATATTTCTTCTCCTTGTACAGAACTTAAAACTGCAGGCATGGTAAAGGAAAAGAAAACAGCACAAATAAGTCAGCTTAAGTCTGGGATTAACTGTCTGAGGCCTTAAAATAAAGACTTCAGATGAACTACTCCAAGGCATAAGGGCTATCAGTGGGAGTGAGAGTAGCACGCTGAGCCCGTTTCATTGTCAGGAACATGACATTTCTTGCTCTGACACCTGTATCATAAAATTTATTCCATTTGAAATCCTCACTAAATGGTCAAGAGTGCCTTGAGAGGTCATGTTAAGCACCACAATTTCTGTCAGGGAGGTTTTTTTCCCCTCAACAGTTAGAAAAATAAGCCACCGGTTTACATATTATTCATAAGCAAGACTGTGATAAACTATTTGTATCTACAGTTTCTCTCACAGAAAAGACAAAAATAAAATCAAGCCTCTCCTCTTCCAAATGAATTTGGCGATTAGCATTTATTTTAGAAGTATTTTTGGGTATAGTGATGAAGCATATGATAATACTACAGCTGTGACATCAGTATAATAACATGGATATACTTATTCAAAATAACATAGCAAGCCTATGGGACAGAGTTGGAAAATACCTAAAATAGCATTTGCTTGGTCTTTGGTGGCTGATGGAACTTGTGAAAACTCCATGGGTATGCTGGTGTTTGCAGTGATCAAAAAATACTACTTGGATTAATATTTTGATCTCCACACTGTCAGCACCCTTCTGTAGTTAGTTTCCTTTAAAATACTCCTTTTTCAGAATTGCTTTAGTCTTCTACAATTAAATCTGAAATGAGCCTTCAGGTCTGCTTCACAGAAAACACAAATAAAAAGTTGGATTTGCATTGTGTCTTCCTTAGAAGCTTCTGTCAACAGTAAAACTTGTTGCCTTGAGTAGCCTTGCTAGTTAAACTAATGAAATTACAAACTGCTCCCAAAACAAGAAAATTGTTAATTATTAAGGGAAGTAAAAAAAAATCATTCAGAAGTGAGTACTTGACAAACAAAAGTTACTTAAACATTTGGGTTTTTTCAGTTTTGTCAGCAGTCTGTGCTTGTAATTAAGATATTTCTGCTCTCAAGGAAATGCCTTAGTGCTATTCACTGAGCATGGTACATATCGCGGGTCTGCAATCTACAATATCAATAATCATTTATATACTTTTTTGAAAGCAACTCTAATTCTCAACACAATGTTATGCAGAAAAATAGTTATTACATCAATATGTTGTCCTGTTTAAAAATGAAAAAACACAGTAAGATAACATGTAAACGTAAATGAATACCCTACTTTTTATTTATAGATGGTAAATTTTGAGTTAAACACATGTTAATTAAAACACATTTCACCAGCTACTTATAAAATTAAGCACTATTTTGTTTGATGTTTGTAGAAACAGGAAATTTGGAGTGATGTCTACTGCTACAGCTGTTTGCAGTCCTTATACAACACCAGATGTGAGATTGGTGTATCTGCATTTTGTCCTCTCCTGTGAATTGCAAGTGATCAAACAGGCAAAAACATAACGACAGGATGATTGGACAAGTTTAGCACGAAGGGAATTGTTCACGACGTTCATAAATCACTGCACAACCACACACACAGTGAAGGAAAACTCATTGTAACATCGCAGATAAGCAAAACCATTTATATCTACAATGAATTTCAAATAAAAGCATATTAATTGTAGAAAATGTCTTTGACATATCTTTACTGACAGTCTTTGGAAAGATGTAATACTAAAAGACACACAAAACTAGGTGTGAGTGTTGTATAAAATCTAGGTGTGACAAACCAATAATGTAAAAACAAACATAAATTTCCACAGATTTATTTTTGTTGTTAAATTATCCTCATATAAATGAGCTCTGCTGTGAAATACAGATGCTAGAAGGAGTAACCATGTATTTAAATGTAGCTGTATTGCAAAACAAGTGTGTTGGTAAAAGCTGCTACTAAAGCATCAGCCATACTTTGCTTTTTCTGTTGCTAGAGCCAATCTGCGAATGTTCGCTATGCAACCAGCTGCTGCCTCCTGCAGAGTTTCATCTGCAGAGCCTACCATAGCCAGTAGGAGCTAGAAAAAACACAAAAGAGAAACAGCATTAGAAAAACAAATAAGTGTGCAATTATTGAAATAATATTCAAATCATATCTAGAACAATTGCATGAATTTCCCCTCCTCACAATAAATAAAATGCTAAAAATCATATTAACAACACTGTGTTTGTTATATATGTACGTATGTATACTCATATATGCACGCTTTCGTATACATATATGTATTAACATAAGCATAGAGCAGAATGGTTTATATATTTTGTCATATTTGTAACTATGAATTTGTATTTTCATGTCTGATCTTCTGTTTATTGTATCACACCTGTCTAGTGGTTGTGGCTTGGATTTTTTCTCATAAGTAGAAATTGAATGTGCTTTATTTGAAACCATGGTTTCTCCCCCAAGGTATACTAGTATATTTGTACATGCTCAAGATTTTTAATAAACAAAGCCATGCATTTTTTCCTGGCTTTGATCATGAAACTGGATCCACGTGAACGGACCCTTCTGTCACATTGACTGCAGCAGGTTTCTTTATTGTCACAGCAAACCACTCATGTTAAACTGCTG